ACCCTAGACCCCTAAACCCCTGGACCCTGGACCCTGGGCCCTATTCTTTTCTGGGCTTCAGGCTTTGATGTTGAAAATTGCAAGGCAGCGGGACAACAGCCTGACCTTCTTTCTAAGCTTTCGGTGCAATGTACTAGTCGCATGCCGTAGGATGCAATGTAGGGGCCTTAATAGTTACCTATGCTATTGTGGGGGTTCCTGATTATTATTATTATGACTATTATTATTATCGTTATTATTTGTGTTATTATTATTATCATGTACCCCTAAACCCTATTTTAAGTATTAAGGCCCTATATTACCGACTCGAGGCTGAACCTCCAAGCAGGCATCGGTTTGGAGATGTGTTGCTGTCGGATTTCGTGGACATGTTTCCCAGAAAGGGACCGGAAGCATGCAATATAGATTCAGAAACTGAAGTACTCGGTTTAGGGTTTAGGGTTACGCGCGTAGCCCAAGCCCGATTCCAACTATCAAGGCCCCGATCTTAGAGGGAACAAGGCCCTAAACCCTAAACCCTAAACCCTAAACCCTAAACCCTAAACCCTAAACCCTGAACCCTAAACCCTAAACCCTAAACCCTAAACCGTATCTTAGAGGGAACAAGGCCCACGACAAAGAAGCACTGGACCCCTGGGTCGGGACGGCAGCCTCCAAGACCGAACCCCCCCCCGCCCTCATCAAAACGTTGGATCCGCCATAGAGAGCTCTTGCAAAGCACGGTTATAAGAGCTTTTCTTAAAGCCCCATAAACTAAACCTTTAAACCAAGGTGAGGCTTTCAACAAGCTCTGAGGATTTTGTTGGAGCCCAATACCGCTCAACTCAGAAGTATGCCCTACATCACGCTACTCAGCCCCTCATGCACTAAGCCCTAAACCCACCTGCACCCCATGTGCTTTAAGGTGTCTCGGTTGGGCTCTCTCAGCTTCAGCAGATCGGTTGAATATCACCTTAAAGCCCTTTAGGGAGCCAAAAAAGGAACCGTTAAAGGAGCCCTTGGTGGGCCTTTGAGTGATCCTTAGGGGGAAGGGGCCCTTGAAAGAGCCTTAACCACTTACCGGAGCCCTTAAAGGAGCTGTGGGGCTCTCGGTCGGTTCTTCTGAAACCCTGAACCCTAAACCCTAAACCCTAAACCCTATAAACCCTAAACCACAAACTTAAAACAAAATCCTAAAAGCCGGGCCGAGATCGGCTGAAGATCCGGGTCTTCAACTTTCTGGAGCGGCCGAAGTCGTCCATGGCGGCCCTGGCGTGGTCCCTCGAAGATTCTTTTTTAGGGGGGGGGTTTAGGTGGGTTTAGGGTTTAGGGTTTAGGTTTAGGGGTTTTAGGGGTTTGGGGGTTTAGGGTTTAGTGGTATCAGATTTTAGGGTTTTAGGGTTTTAGGGTTTAGAGGTTTACGGATCTAGGGTTTAGGGTTTGGAAGATTTTTTTTTTAAGGGGTGAGGGGTTTAGGGTTTAGGGTTTTGGCTCGAGGATTTTGGGTTTAGGGTTTGCGATTTGGGGTTTAGGCTTCAGGATTTAGGCTCCGGGATTTCGGGTTTAGGGTTTAGGCTTGAGGCTGTAGGTTGGCCAGTGTTGGGGATTGCTGAGGCTTTCGGGTGGAGGTTGGTCTTTTAGGCGAAAGGGGGGGTGCAGGGTTTTGGGCACTAGGGGTTGAGGTCGGCGTCGTCGTACATCCCGGCATCTTGAAAAGAGGGGGTGTGGTGGGGTTTACGATGGTTTTTGTTTGAGAGGTTTTACTGGATTCTAGGGTTCTAGGAGGAGCCTAGGAGGTACTATAAATGTTTCAGGAGTTTGGAGGTTTGGGAAAACCCTCAAACCACCAAGCACTTAGAGTTAATATAAGGGCCTGAGCAATCAGCAGCAGCATCAGTTCCCAGTCCCAACATCGCCATGCTGTACTATGCACCAAAGCCTCGCTCTAGTTGCCAAGGCTCCCAAACCCTATAAATCCCAACTCTCCGCCAAGCCCTAAACCTTCTTCCCAAAAGCGCAAAAGCTCGACCCGCCAAACCGCAAACCCTTACATCGCCATGCCCAGCGCCCTAGCTAGCCCTGCACATTCTGGTCTGCCCGCCTTCAGAATCCCCTAGGGTTAGCGACCTTGAAGCAACGAACAGGGTTTTCATTCGGGTTTAGGGCACTTGGGCTTTGTCCGAAACCTAGACCCTCAACCCGCAAAGCCCCAAACGCTAAAATTCCAGAACACTATACGCTAGACACCAAAACCCAGACCTTAAAAAGTCCAGAGCCGTAAGCCCTAAACTCCAAAAGCCCACAGAAGGTTTTATGCCGACTGCATCCTGGTCATCCTTTGTGCTTCGGCAGAGCTCAAGCTCAGTTGCTAGCAGTAGGTATTAGATACTATATGATATATGGGTAGTTGTCAAAATTATGGTCCCTTTTGGGGTACCCTAAAGGGACCATAATTTTGACAACCACCCATATGATTGCATGACATATTATGTATAATATATAAGGGGTGTTTGCTTTGGGGTTTGGTGGGCTAGGCCAAAGCACACAGGTAACCCTCGTTGGACTTTGCAGCATAACATGTCCTCTTCTTGCAGCTTGTCTTGCCATGTTTCTCGTTTGTTCAGGTGTATTTGCTGCTTCAGGTCAAGCAGCTGAATGCTGGATGGCGAGCAGTTGTGGGAACTGCAGTAGCTTCTGGATGCACAACTACGGGTGTCTCGCGATGCGATCTTATCTGACGTGCAAGCTGGATGGTGTGCGGCGGCAAGGTTGCCTCACAGGCTTCTGTCCTGAACCGATGTCGGTCCAAGCATGGCCGGGTGTGGGTGAAGTTGTTAGACAGCGCGTCCGTCCAAGTACGGCCATCTAAGGATGAGGCCAGTGTTGCTGCCTTCTTCCTGCGAATCGTACTGGGAAGGGCGCCCGTGCATCTTGTCGAGTCCCCAGCAACGCAGTGTGTGGCGGCGGATGCCTTTGCCAGCCCAGAGCGCGCTGGAATTGGAGGGTGGTGGATGCCAAGTGGCTCGCACCTGGCAGTGCCGTCGATCTGCTGGTTTTCCATTGAGTTGGAGAGGTCATCGTTGCCCAAGTGGTTTGTTCCGTCAGGTGCAGATCTACAGGATGTCATTTGCTTGGAAGCACTGGCTCAGCTGGTCCTGTTGGCCCTGCAGCGTCAGGATCCGGAGTGCGCCTAACTTGGGATGCTTAGCAGTGAGTCAGCGCTGCGACAACCTGGGCGTCGTGGGCGCTTGCGAGAAAGGTCTGTCCATGAGGCAGCCCTTGGCGTCGGTTCTCCAGGCCACGGCCCTCTTTTGTATGAGGGAGCGCCTCAACCTGTGTGTGAGCCACCTTGCCGGAGTGCGCAATGTGTGGGTCGATGCACTATCGCGTGGACGAGCCAAGGACCCAGCCTTTCGGTCACAGCTGGACCCGGCAAAGCGACGCTCGCTGGATTGGCAGGCGCTGCTTGAGGCAGGTCGTCCGAAAGCACTGTGCAGTGCTGTGTGAAATCGTTACCTCCAAGCGTGGCCTAACTAACGTGTCAGCAGTGTGTCAGGTCCGTGCCCCTGAGAGTGCTCGTTGTTAGTTCCAGAGTGCATGCCAGGATTACGTGCCATTCGTGCTAAAGCTTGGAGTGGATCGTTGCTCATGGCAGGGTTTTGGCTGCGGCGGTGCTTTGGGTTCGGATTGCCTGGGCCTGGACGGCCAAGCGGTTTGCATGTGTGCAGCCAAAACACCTGCCTGCATGACTGCATGAACAGTTGAGGGTTGGGGTGTTTGCCTTGGGGTTTGGTGGGCTAGGCCAAGGCACACACGTAACCCTCGTTGGACTTTGCAGCATAACATGTCCTCTTCTTGCAGCTTGTTTTGCCAGGTTTCTCGTTTGTTCAGGTGTATTTGCTGCCTCAGGTCAAGCAGCTGAATTTTGCCCGCCCGCCCGCCCCGATGGGTGGTGAAAAGCATTATTGGACTGGTTATGTCCAGTGTGGTGTGCGCCCATCGGCGTTGCTTCCCTGCAAGGGGGCTTGGATTTCCTGGGCCTGGACGGCCAAGCGCTTTGCATGTGTGCAGCCAAAACACCTGCCTGCATGACTGTTGAGGGTTCAAATTATATATTACATACGAGTTGCTTGGTGTTTAGGGTTCAAGGTTTAGGGGCTGAGGGATTTAGGATTTTGAGTTCAGGGTTTAGGGTTTCGTTAATGAGATGATTAGAAGTTTTGAGCACACGTTTCGTAGAGCAATGACATGCGGACTCATTGCTGTGCACATCCATGGCCAAGGCGTTGTCAGCCTCGTTGCGGAGCCATTGGTGCTGGTTGTGTACCCAGAACCTGGAGCATGCAATAGAAGTAAATAGGGGTCTTAATAATTAGAATACGGCTTGGGGGCATATCATACTATAATTATAATAAGGACCCCCCAAAAGAATAGAAGAGGTCATTATTAAGGCCTTTACATTAAGGTCTGCATCAGCTGGATCAGCAAGGGTTCAGGGGCCATGCAGAGGATGAGGGGGCCTTCGCAGGGCGGCGTCGAACAAGTCCTGAAAACTTCCTTCAAAGCCCTTTAAAACCAAAGGAGGAGGCAGGAGCTTGGGGAGTAAGATGGGGCGTAGATAATTACCAATACTATTGTGGGGTTCTTTATTATGATAGTAGTGATAATCGTATAATATACATCAAAAACCTATTCTAATTATCATGGTATTATGGACTCTACATTACCATGTTTAGAAGAAGCATAGAGCCACAGTGTTGAGAGGTCCGTGGTCGATCCAGCAGTGCCCTTTCCAATAAAATGTAAGGGCCTAAATAATTACCTGTATCATTTTGGAGGTTCTTTATTATAGTTATAGTATAATATATCCCAAAACCCTATTCTAATTATTCAGGCCCCTATACTAGGTTTGCTGTAGGGGCCTTCACAAAAGGGTTGTGGGGTATGGCATAGTACACAGTGTAGTATACTATATTGGAATCGGAACTACATTATGGCACGTTCTTCCGACCTCCATATTGAGGATTTGCGATGTAGGGTCCGGGGGTTGCCGAGACTCTCAGCCCCTCCTCCGTCCAGAAACGTCTCTAACTGCCGTTCTGTTTGCGAGTTGGTAAGAAGAAGGCAGGGCGTCTTGTTCTCCTGACCAGGTACCTGGTATGTGGCTGTGGCCCAAAGCTGGTATGGCCAAACCCAAAGCCGCAAACCATAAACCCGAAACCTTACCGCCAACAGCCGCGCACCGGCTGAAGGGTTTTGAAGGCTTCGAACAGTTACTAACATTTCATGGGGTTCCTCATTATTACTATACTCGAAAACTCTTCCTCCTTGTTCCCCTTCAAGGCTGTTGGAAGGGTTCATGGAGTTTTCCAGGGGTTGAGTTTCCAGTATTGTTCCTTAGGTTTCCTTTTTATAAGGGCTTAGGGTTTAGGGTGTAGGGTTTGAATGTAAAATAGCTCAAGTAGTCAGAGCCCCGACAGTATGCTGGACACCTCTGAACCCTGGACTTGAAAAGATCACCCGAGGATGACGCCGGCGTGGTGACCTTGGTCAAGGCTTGTTCAGCGGGTTTAGTGGATTTTTAGGCCCTAAACCCTAGACCCTAAACCCTAAACCCTAAAGCCTAGTAGATTTTTAGGGTTCAGGGTAGCTACAACGAGGAGTTTGAGTACTTTTTCTGGGCGTTTGGGGTCAGTCGAGCCGTTTTCTAGGTGATGCACCATGAATCCTCCAGTAGCCTAAACCACCAGCAAACCCTAAACCCTAAACCCTAAACCCTAAACCACCAGCCTTTGCAAGGGTTTTCTTGTCAGCCGAGACCCCTCATCTTGCAGCTGCCTCGACCCCTGGAGTCGTCAATTGTCTCCCCCAGAGAGCCCAATACCCCTTAATTAAGGAATGTAGCTTAAATCATATAACATTTAAGGTATATTCCTTAATCAAATCATAATATTAAGGCCCCTCTAATTTAAGGTATATTCCTTAGTTAAGGGGTATTGGGCTCTCTGGGCCTAGCATTCCTCGGTTCCCTGATGGTGTTATGTCCCTTGCTTCCCAGGGTGCGGAAGCAACCCCCTTCCTGGGTGCCCTGCAGGGTTTAGGGTTTAGGGTTTAGGGGTTTAGGGTTTAGTAATTGCCCTGCACCTGAAACCTGAACGTAAACCCTGTAATATAGGGGCCGTAAGTATTTACCAATCTTCCATGACGGCTCCTTACTACAACTCTACTAGAGTAGACCCCCCAAAAACGTATTCTAAGTGCCGGGCCCTGATATAAACCCTAAACCCTAAACCCTAAACCGTGGCTTACGAGTGTTTTGCGTCTTCGGATTACAGCCCGGGCTTTGGGTTCGTGCTTGGGGTTGAGGTTGTAAAGTTTAGGCTCGTGGGTTTATGGCACGGTGCATGCTTATGGTGGAGTGTAGGCTTCAGGGTCTATGGTGCATGTTCCTAGGGTTTTTAGGGTTTTTAGGGTTTTTAGGGTTTTTAGGGTTTTTAGGGTTTTTAGGGTTTAGGGTTTAGGGTTTAGGGTTTAGGGTTTAGGGTAGGGGGTTTAGGGTTTAGGGTTTAGGGTAGGGTTGAGGGTTTGGGTCCAGGATTTTTTGCTCTCGGTTTCGAGGTGTTTCTTTGCTTTCGGGGGTTCGAGGTGTAAGGTCCTGAACCTTAAACCCTCAAACCCTCAACCCGGAAAGGGTGTGGGGGTTCATTAACGCAAAAATGCTCTACTTCCACGTAGACTTCAATTCATTAACCTGAAACTCCTAAACCCCTAAACCCTAAACCCTGAACCCTGTATCTTAGATCGTCAACCCTCTTAAACCTCAACAACATAAAAAATCAATCCGTATTGCAGTTCGTCGAGTGGTTCTTCACGATCCTCTTTACCGTGGAGCTGCTGACTCGCTGGGCTTTTTGGCTTGTCCCTAAGGCCCTAAGGTTCAGGAAGTGAGGGTGTTTCAGTAGGTTTTTTGTACAGCTTCTGTCCTAGTCCTCCTCCTCCTCCTCCTCCCGTG